AAAAAAAAAAAAAAAAAAAAAAAAAAAGTCATCTCAGCAAGATTAACGGCTTACAGGCTCATCAAACCATCATGGAAAACGAATAGACTAATACTTCCTTTCATCTGTAAAGTGAAACTCGTGGAAATTGGGCAGGAAGTCCCCCGTTAAGGCTAAGAATGCACAAAACAAAGTATAAGCTATGACAAGGAGGCCATCTCACAACTTAGATCAAAAAGCTTGTTAGAAGCATTAAGTATCAAATCATGTAAACGTAGCAAAAATAAAGATTATACAACTATTACAGAATGGGGAACTCAAAGTTTAGGATCATCCTAGCCGATCAGATTTATTCAGCCATTTAGAACTTGTGGGATAGAGAACATTAAATGAAAAATATATTCAATGACAAGTTGCATCGTGTTATTCTCTCTGTCAGCAGAAAAACTGAGACAAATTGAGTCTGATCAATGACGCAAAAAATCTAAATAAGTAATGACTTAAAACATATTCCTGATAGGAAAACCATACCACTTTGAGAAGGGCACCAATTGAGAAACTAAAAATAAATGCTTCATTCAATTATTTGTTCAAACGAAAATGTCAACAAAGATGTGAAGCTCTTTCAAGCAGACATCATCGAGAAGCTATAAGCAATTCAGCAATCTGAAGAAAGCAGTAATGCTAATGGATGAGATGGGGATCAGATTGAAGGGACCAGACATTTGCTAAGTCCAACGGTACAAACATTTGTTAGGAGTGCATATCATTCAGGATCTCAAAATGGACAAATACAACTACTATTAATGAAAGGGAAAAATTCAGCCTGACCCATGTTAAGTGCTGCAAGCTGTATAAATTATCTAAAAACAAATTCATAAGTACCTGGACCTGGCCTGAGATATAATCTTTGTTAGCACTGTTCTGTTTTTTTTTTTTTTTTTTTTTTTTTTTTTTTTTTTTTTTTTTTTTTTTTTTTTTTTTTTTTTTTTTTTTTTTTTTTTTTTTTTTTTTTTTTTTTTTTTTTTTTTTTTTTTTTTTTTTTTTTTTTTTTTTTTTGCAGCGTCTTCTAACTGGCCTGGCATTGACGTAATATTCTCATTTACTTTGTTGCATGGTAAAAGTAGAAATGCAAAACTATAGATAGCAAGGTGTGTTGAGGATGGTTGGAGGGAGTCCCATATTGACTAATTTAGGGAATGATCATGGGTTTATAAGTAAGGAATACGTCTCCATTGGTATGAGACATTTTGGGGAAGCCCAAAGCAAAGCCACGAGAGCTTAAGCTTAAAGTGGACAATATCATACCATTGTGGAGATTCGTAGTTCCTAACAAGATGTACAGGGGGAGGAGAGCCAAGGCCGCAGGTCATTTGATGATTGAGTTGGCAAAATGCCAAGATTACGTGCTTTACGAGGAAGAAGGGAGGGTATGTGTTTGACTAGCCAGTTAACATGACTGGGAAGCATCTTTGTACATATGGGAACTAAGGTAGTTACAAAAATTATAAAGCAGATGGTGGCGGTAGGGCGAGTTATACAAGTACTGAACTATGTAGAGGGAGATCCGTAGATATGAATAATCTGAGAACTTGTACTTTCACCCTCTTATTTTGCTCACTAAAGTTGAGAACTCTCTTTGTGTTATATAGCATGACAATTGAGCAGTGATGCTGGATAACAATGATACAAGCTACTCTCTAAGGCTCAATGAAACAATTTTCATCGTAGCACCTCACAATAAACCATTTCCCATAAAACAAAGTTACTGAAAAAAATCGTCGAATCTTCCTCCGATTCCTTATGATAACGATTTTCTGACCAATTCTCATGGCTTTAGGAATGACCCTAAGATAGGGCCTAATCAAATTTCTTTTTTCAATGAGGGTTCGTTTTCAATAAGCAATCAATCTCGAACTAGCTTCTTTACGAACTGGCTTGACCCAACCCAAATATCCAAGCGGGCTCAATGAGAAGAGACCCCCCTACACGCTCTTAGTTCAACATTTGCGTAAGGTTATTTGAGAAATGCTCAACTTGTGGTCTCTATCCAGCTACATCCAACACCTTTATGCAGCCCTTCCCTTCTCACAAATCCCCTCAAATGCTCTATCTCATTCCACAAGCCAAAACCAGAATACAAATTTGATAGCATAACGAATATCCCAGCGTTCGTAGGATCCAATTCAAGTGCCCTACGAGCTGCCAAATTACCCAACTTAATATTTCCATGTTCCAAGCAAGCTCGGAGTAAAGCACCCCATAGAGGTACATTGTAATCGCTACTTTTCATACCACTTACAAGCTTCCATGCTTTTTCCAATTCCCCAGCTCTACAGAGCAAGTCAACCAAACAACTATAGTGCTCTTGACCAGGTTCCAACCCAAAAACACTCTGCATGGAGTCAAAATACTTGACTCCAAGATTCACCTGACCAGTGTGACCACAAGCTGATATCACTGTCACAAAAGCCACCCTATCTGGTTTGATCCCTTCCATCAACATCTGGTTGTACAATTCAATTACTCTTATGTAACATCCGTTTCTACCATATGCACTAAGCATAGAAGTCCACATTATAATATCCCTTTTCCCATCTTCTTTTTGTCCAAGTCCTGCGAAAACGAACACATTCCATGCTTTTTCCACCATGCCACTCTTCCCATACATTTCAATCAATGTGCTTTGTAGATGAACATCACTCGAAATATCATAAACCGTTCGTAGTAGATAAGCATGCACTTGCTTACCTAAAGCAATTGCAGATAAACCAGTGCACGCACGTAAAGAAGCTGATAGAGTGAACTGGTCATACTTCAAATCCAAAACGTACATCTTCCGTAGCAATTCAAGTCCATCAATCCACATGCTAGCGTCGCCATATCCAGCCAATAATGCATTTGCGCACACCGTATTCTTCACAGGAATTTCATCAAACACTTTCACTGCATCATTAATCAGCGAATTTTTTGCATACATATCGACAATCGCACTCCCCACAAAAACACTACATAACCAACCTGATTTCCCCACGAAGGCGTGCATCTGTTTTCCATACACGGGATTCTGAACAAGAGAACAAGCACTCAAAGAGCTGCAGAGGGCATACGTATCGATAGGGACCCCATTGGAATGCATGAAAGACAACGCCATTAACGAAAAATCTGGAAACCCATGTCGATAAAAGTCAGAAATCATTACGTTGAAGGTTAAAGAACTTCTGGGGATTATGCATTTGAAGAAGCTGCTTAAGCTTAGCGCATCAAAATTGGGGATGATTTGGGAGTAGGATAGTATAAGCTTAGAGTGAAGATCCGGGGAGGAAAATTGGAAGTGAGTTCTAAGCAGTTGGGCGTGAAGCTTCTTAATGGCTTTGAGATTTTGGATTTGGGAAGCATGGCGCAAAAAACTGGCGAAGGAATCGAGACTCCGTCTAATATGAAAATGGTGAGGGCTCGACATCGAAAGAATGGGAGGAAGCAACAGGCGGGAAGAGGGGCATTTGGCAGTCTTTTGGTTTTATAGTACAGGGGTAGTTTCGTCATTGGAGCAATATCGTTATGACAGTTGAGAAGCCACAGTTATGATCCATTTTGCAAGCAAGGACAAATTAAGCTTGCTGACGAGGATTTAATTTTCCGTATTTTTAATAAATTAAGTTTATTGTTTTTCAGGCTAAATTAATAAAAATACATTTGATTTTTATAGCATAAGCATTTTTTAGGTTTTCGTAGCAAATTTATACAATAACTTTCAAAATCATTAAATCAACCTAGAACCATTTAATTGGTTTTTTTTTTTTTTTCTCAGATATTTGAGTTTAGTATCAAGAAATTTATTTCAATTAAAGTAATCGAAAATTTTAAGTTGCAATAATTAGGGTAACAGTGACTTATCTTAAATATGGTGGGAATCTCCATTTGAATGAAAAATATGGAAGTGAGTGGGGAGGGACAAATATTATATTCCTCGTCTCAAACCCGCTCATTATATATATATATATAAATATTGAAAATAACTTATTTATATTATATAAATAGATTATGAAATATTATATTATAATATTGAAATGTAAGTTTTTAAAAATTATGCAGATATTTAACCTTTTTTTAATAGAAATTAAATTAAAAAAATAAAAGTAATCCATTGAATTTTTTTTAAAAAAAATTTATATATATGTAAAAAGATGAAAAAAAAAATTTAGGCAAGAAATAAAAATTGAAATCGGAGGAGACCGGGATAGATAAGGCTTCTCCACGCCGTGGACATTTATATTTACATCTACATTCAATTTCTCCGAATCAAATTGCGTTTAATTAAAAGTGTAGACATTTATTATCAGATGAATTGCTCGTTGCTCCTTCCTTAAAGAATAAGTAACATAAATTTGGTTAAGAAAAAGATCAAAGGTATGGCAAAGAAATCACGGTAACCTTTCTTCTCATAAAACCATTGCCACAAGAGGTTGACTAAAAAAAATGCCAAGCAAAATGGAAAGGGAAATGATAATTTCCACTCTACCAAAAAAAAAAAAAAAAAATAATAATAATAATAATAAAATAATCTTTTTACACATTTGAAGTGCCAAAAAATCAACTGCCCAAAGCCTAGAAGTGACTTCAATGAAAGTATCTTCTCTACGTGCAATAGTTAGGCTGCCCATTACAAGACCAAAGCCAAATTCTCCAGCTTAAGAACTTTCTTAAGAATTTCTCCACACATAAACTGCAAAGAAGCCTTTCGGAACCTGCAAGATGCTGAAATTGCCTTTCTTTCACTCAAAATGCACCGTTTATGACTGGGAGATCCTATATCGGTTGGAGAAGAGAACGAAACATTCTTTATAAGAGTGTGGAAACCTCTTTCTAGCTAACGCATTTAAGAACTTTCTTTTAGAATGACTGTGAGATCCCACATTGGTTGTAGAGGAGAACGAAACATTCTTTATGAGTGTGGAAACCTCTTCCTAGCAGACGCGCTTTAAAAACTTTGAGAGGAAGTTCGGAAGGGAAAGCCCAAAGAGGACAATATCTACTAGTGGTAGATCTGGGGTGTTACAATGACACTCTGTAAACGGTTCCCATGTCAGTTTTTCGTCGTTAACGAACAATGAACTGAAAGTGCAATTCAACCACAAGTTTATGTCCGTATTTATATTGATAAATTGGTGGAAAAGGAAGATATCAAAGTTCTGAGGCAATGGAGGAAGAAGCAGGTTGGGTTGGGGTCTGGTTAGAGAAGAGTTCACAAGGGTTTCACATGGCTCTGTCTTTCAACTTGCAGTTTGGGCTCAGGGCTGAGAGGGGATCAGTGTCCCATTTTGGTCCTGAACAGTGTCCTACAGAATCAGCCATTACTCAATTTGAGGACCAGCAGAAGATTGGAAAGGGACAGCTAGGTGGGTGAGAACCTTAAATTTAGGGGCACAGGTAGGAGGCTCTTGGTTATATGGAGGGTGGGGAGAGACCAAATATGTGAATGGTGTCCAAGGAAAGCAACTGGGAGTGGGTGCAAATTGAAAGCAAGCCAAAAAAGACAATTGTATGAGCTAACGTTTACATACAAAGGCAACAGAAAGCAGATTCTCTCTCATGTGGAAATGAATGCTACATGATTTTGACTCTTTTTACTGCTGATTGAAACATATAAAAAGGATATTTGTCTTTCATCTCAAGCAGTGCCATTTTTTTTTTCTATAATAAAGTAGCAAAAGAAGCAGAAATACATTAAACGCAGAAAGTTGGGACCATATGAACTCACAGTGGTAGTTGGTGAAGTAAGTTGAAAAATCTTCTTTCTACTCTGCATAGATTCAAAAGAGGGTATGGGGAGTTATGCAGCTGTATGAACCACATGATTTCCTGATCAATGGAGGATGAGCTCAGCAAATATCCATGGTTGTCTGTCCAAATAGAGAGTTTTGAGAATGATTATGAATTATGATCGGAGGGAGATATTTAGTGCTAAGAAATGCAAAGAATGACTCAATATATTGATAAAAAAAATTGAAATGCTATTAAATGCATTAATTATATGGGACAAGGTGTGAGACATACTTGTCTGACGAGCCACATGGAATTTTCAGCCAAATACAGTAAATGTCATGTGTATGGGTTAAAAACATAGCAAACCTACAAGTTCGGTGTGAGATCCCACATCGATTGGAGAGGGGAACGAAGATTCCTTATAAGGGTGTGAAAACTTCTCCCTAATAGACACATTCAAAAATTTTGAGGGGAATCCTAGAAGGGAAATCTCAAATAGGACAATATCTGCTAGAAGTGAGCTTGGGCGGTTACAAATGGTATTAAAGCTAGACACCGAGTGGTGTGCCAGCGAGAACATTGAGCCCCCAAGGGGGGTGGATTGTGAGATCTCTTATCGGTTGGAGAGGGGAACGAAACATTTCTTATAAGGGTGTAGAAACCTCTCCCTAACAGACGCGTTTTAAAACCTCGAGGAAAATCCCAGAATGAAAAGTCTAAATAGGACAATACTGTTTGCAGTGGGGTGGGCTTGAGCTGTTATGAACAAACTCCAGTTTAAATTAGGGAAGGCTCCATTGTTCATTATAAATAGATGGCCTTAGAATAGTGGATAAGCTTCCAGACATCTATAGCTATTCTTACAAGAAACAATTTGATCTTAAAAAGGTGTTTTAAAATTAGAACTAATTTAATAGCAAACTCAACTTTTAGGACATCATGTTGCATGTGCCCTCTAGAACCATATGAATATGATTCCACAAACAGAATGCTTAGAATGGAAATAAAGATACACGTTTTAGCTTGCTTGCTTGTGCCAAGAGATATATATATATCAGCAAAGGCCAAGAAATCAAAAATGAATTACAGAGAGAATATTACCCTTTTCAAATGTAGTGATTTGTGAAGAGATATATGTTATCGGAGTTGAGCAGAAGATGCATGAAATAAACTTGCTGCTTGCAAGATGGAAATATTAGATGGAGATGTCATGCTTTGATGAAGTTCTGTACTAAATAAATCGTTTCACTAGGTGTAACAGGAATAAACAGCTGAAGGAAAAGCAGTGTCTACCTACCTTTAGCGCGTCTCCTCCACAAGATCTTTATAAGCTATTATATCCATGAATGCTCTGAAATTAAAATTCTTGTCAGCTAATGTCATCATGTTTCTTGAATGACAAAGGAAGGTTCCAATGATAATGAAAGAAAACCAGAGTGACCACAGCACAGGAACTTGTTCCACCAAGCTACCCATCAATGTCAGACTTGACTTTAATACCAAATTTAGTCAGCTAATACAAGAAAATTTCATCTGTATTGCCAGTTCATACAATGAAATGAGATACTAGGCCAAAAGTCATCTAAACAAACTATTCTAGTTACTAACTCTAGATTTGATCCTACAACGGTTTTGTTGTATTTGGCTGTCATGCTGGAGCCAAGTATCAGGAAGGAATATGCCATAGTTAAATGGTCAAACTTATGATGCAATCAATAATTCTCTAGAACTGTTTGCCAAAATGAAGTCCATGTAAAAAATGGAATTGATATCTCAATGGTCCTTGATTGCTCAAAATCTCTGTTACAAATTCAACTGTTTAGAAAAATGATGAATGAACGTAGATTAAGAATTGAAAATAAACCATTCACGTTGAACTACATCCTCAAATATAACATGAAAATGGGAAAGGTTGACAAAAAAAAAAAAAAGAAAGAAAAGGATTAGCATTCTTCCGTCATAATGAATGACATAATGACAGTTTATATTTGTATTTGGCAACTTGAATTTGATGTTCTTAGGTAAATATTAACCAATGAATTGAACTGTGACTGCATAAAGGGAAGTACTTCCATGGAAATAACCTCTTCCTTTTCTGACATTAGCAAGCTTAATTTTGTATACATCAACTGGGGAGGTAATTCGACTCTCCCTCGAAAAAGTGTACAACGGAATGACACTGATCTACAAGTGACTAATCTAACAAATATATATTTTCTCATGGCTCACTTAGACGAGAGATGAGATGAAGGAATGTATCATCGCTGCAAGGAATAGTAAGGCCTCCCATAGGATGATTGTAACCAAATTCTTCTCCAACTCGACTTAACAAGTCCTTGAAAAATGGCTCGTTCAAGTAAGTAATTGGAATCACAAACCGCTTCTTTTTGCTTTCCCCTACATAAACTGCACAATAACCTTTGCGGATTGCCGACGATTTGTAGTGTGTTGTTAGAGAAGAAAGTCCAATATTTTGCACAGCATTTACCACTCTCGCCAAATGGAAACCCATGGTTTTTTGTTTTTCTCTCAGGAAGTTGAAGGGTCTTGAATTTTGGAATGTAGAAGTAGCACAATAGCAGTCGAGAGAAAAAGGGAAAACTTGGTGGTGAACTGGAAGTTTGAGAATTGAGTTGCTTTGGAATTGAAAACATGTATATATAGATTAAAAAGGGAGACGTGGCCACTAGCTTGCTCTAAGAAATGAGTGGTGAGACATCTACGAATGGGGCCAACTAGGAGGCATGTACTTGTGAAGTATACTGTGTCACATGGTATTGTATTCTAGATAATAATCTTCAGCTACTTGGAAAATAATATCGGGAAAACAAAGTCACCTAACATTTTGGTAAACCTCGCAAATACTGGACCCATTTGAGCTGAAAATTGTGGCCGAGTGAAAGCTCGTTAGTTAAGTTAAGCACATTACATAAGCAATCGATAATATTTTTGTTAGAGAAATGGCTGAGACAACAAAACCGTCCCCCTAATAATTTTTGCCATGCCAACGAATAGCAGGGAAACATTCATTTAATGGAATATATTGTTTGTCTAAATGGAAAGAAAGCCTATATAATTAAAAAAATTTAAACCAACTGGCTCAAGATATGAACAAAACCAAAGTTGGCAGCTAATCTTTGATGCATATTAGTACAGCTATTGGAGTCTCACAAACCAAATCGATAAGCCTAGACAACAAACATATTCAAGATGGTTATAACATAGCTGGAAGTGGAGCAAATTTTACCAGATGCAGATTGAGAGATCCTGCCTTTTTGAAGTTCACATGAAAGCTGACCGGCAACATTCCCTCTCAATGAGTGGATGTCCAAGTTCTGAACATTTAATGAGATCTTAATAAGAAAAAAATAAGCATCTATTAGGGATCAAGCATTTTTTAGTCAATAATTAAAAATATAGATTGACCATTTCCTAAACTATTGCTTTTCAAAAGGTTGTCATTCTTAAGTTATGGACCAACTGAACAATATGAAAACATCAAGCATGGTGCAAGCTTACTCCAATAACTCTTGATGTTGAGGACAGTGCTTGTAGACGAAGAAAACTCGGTTTCCTGTTCGGTGGGGGCATCTGATGGATACAAACCAGTAAAGTTTTAATAATATTTCTTATCACATTGATTTTTTTTGTCTGTTTATTTTCTTGGTCACAGCATTTGATTTTTGGTTTTCCTTGACCACTTGTTTTCTTCTCTAATATCTTCCCATTAAACAGTGGATGTGTACCATCAGAAGCTGCGCCAAATGAGAAAACGAGTGTGTTTCAACCAATTTTGCAACCCCATGTGAGCCTTGATGATGTAGGTCCAACCAGACACCTACTTTGATATTCTTTTGTTCACACCTCCTCTTCCTCACTCTATATATATACATTCAAACCAAATGAACAACCATCTCCCAACTCGAACTGCAGAGAGATTATCATCCCAAGTATTGCAGATTTTTACTTCAAGATCAACATCGGCCACAACGACTGACAGTTGCTTGTTCTTCTTTCACTTCAAGAAGATTTAAAAATGGGAATCCGTTTGCCTTCAATTCTTCTTCATACCAAGCAAATTCTCAAAATGCAGGGCCCTTCTTCAAAAGTAAAGTCCAATATTCCCAAAGGACATATTGCAGTCTATGTGGGGGAAAACCAAACAAGGAGATTTGTGGTTCCAATTCCTTATTTGAACCATCCTTCTTTTCTAAATCTACTAAAAAGGGCCGAGGAAGAGTTTGGATTCAATCATCCAATGGGTGGTCTGACAATTCCCTGCAGAGAAGAGACCTTCATTGATCTCACTTCTAGGTTGCAGATATTATGAGAGATGGAGAAGAAAGATCAACCATCCACACAGTTTTGCCAACCCTGTTTTTTTTTTTTTTTTTCAACTTGTCCTAGTCATAGTAGAATATCAATGTATAGGAAGTACATCAAAATGACTGTATTTAGGGTGGAAAACTGATCTTCCCACCTGAAAGGGCAATAGCACATAAAAACTGCAATTGCACCGAGCAGTAAAGTGACTTTTTTTTTCAAAGAGAAAAATATGCCCCATCAACGCATTCAATATATATGCCATTTTCCTCTCTGAATTTCATCGAAGTTCTCATATTCTTATGTTGAATGCAATTACATGGATGAATCTTGAGTAGGAATCCCAGGTTGAAACAATTGAAAAGAATATATTTAACTTAAGTAAATAATAATAACAATAAATAAATAAGGAGAACTTTAAAGTGCCCCTCCCAGAAACCAAAGCTTTTTGACTTGTCATCTTGAAGCAATTAACTCTCTTTATGTGCTGAAACCGTATCTAATATGTTATCACGACCTAACCAATAGGATTCTTTTTTACACTGAAATTGTGAAAATCTAATCTATTATGTGAGGGAAATCAATTTTAATCTCCATTATTACGGTGCTTTGCAACGTTCTCAATGTAAAAAAAAAAAAAAAAAAAAAAAAAAAA